TCTCAAATCCCTTTTCTCCTCAGCATCCCCATTGCCACTGCTGCTTTCCTTCAGGCCTTGCCAGAATCTAACTGAAAATGTGGAGGAGAGTGAACTTGGATTAAAACACTTGCTCCATGCCAGGCACTGCGCTAAACATTACCTCCTTTAATCCTCACTGTCACTGAGGCAAGCTCCGTATTGTTCCCATTTTAGAGACAAGGAAATCAAGGTTCAAGTAGGTTAAGTAACTTGCCTTGGTCACACAGGAAAGAAAGGGCTGAGCCGGGGAACTGGAATTCACATCTGGTGGATGCCAAAGGCAAAGCACTAACCATTTCTTTTTCTTTCCTTCCTTCCTTTCTTCCTTCCTTCCTTCCTTCCTTCCTTCCTTCCTTCTTTCTTTCTTTCCTTTCTTTTTTGAGATGGAGTCTCGCTCTGTCGCCCAGGCTGGAGTGCAGTGGCACGATCTCGGCTCACTACAAGCTCTGCCTCCTGGGTTCACGCCATTCTCCTGCCTCAGCCTCCAGAGTAGCTGGGACTACAGGCGCCTGCCACCATGCCCGGCTAATTTTTTGTATTTTTAGTAGAGGCAAGGTTTCACCGTGTTAGCCAGGATGGTCTTGATCTCCTGACCTCGTAATCCACCTGCCTCGCCTCCCAAAGTGCTGGGAATACAGGCGTGAGCCACTGTGCCTGGCCTTTCTTTCTTTCTTTCTTTCTTTCTTTCTTTCTTTCTTTCTTTCTTTCTTTCTTTCTTTCTTTCTTTCCTTTCTTCCTTTCTTTCTTTCTTTCCTTCTTTCTTTCGTGCTGGGAATACAGGCGTGAGCCACTGCACCTGGCCTCCTTCCTTCCTTCCTTCCTTCCTTCCTTCCTTCTTTCCTTTCTTTCCTTCTTTCTTTCTGAAACGGAGTTTCACACTGTCACCCAGGCTGGAGTCCAATGGTGCGATCTAGGCTCACTGCCACCTCTGCCTCCCAGGCTCAGGTGATTCTCCTGCCTCAGCCTCCCGAGTAGCTGGGATTACAGATGCCCGCCAGCGCGCCTGGCTAATTTTTTGTATTTTCAGTAGAGACGGGGTTTCACTATTTTGGCCAGGCTGGTCTCGAACTTCCGATCTCGTGATCTGCCTACCTCGGCCTCCCAAACTGTTGGGATTACAGGCATGAGCCACCACTCCCGGCCTCTCTTTTTTTCTTTTTTTTTTTTTTAGATGGAGTCACATTCTGTCGCCCAGGCTGGAGTGAGTGGCAACCTCCACCTCCCGGGTTCAAGTGATTCTCCTGCCTTAGCCTCCCAAGTAGCTGAGATTATAGGTGCCCGCCACCAGGCCCAGCTAATTTTTGTATTTTTAGTAGAGAAGAGTTTTCACCTTGTTGGCCAGGCTGGTCTCAATTACAGGCATGAGCCACTGCACCCGGCCACCTCTGTAATCTGTCTTGATTTCCTGGGAGAGAGTGAGAAACAATTACATTCTACCTTGGCTATTTTATTGACATGTGAGTCTTTCCCAGGGTCAGGACTAGGGTGAGGCAGTCGAGGCACCTAGAATGCAAATGTAAGGAGGCACTCCCTCTCAGGGTCATACAAATGCCCACCCTGTACGTATGTGACCCTGAGAGCAAGTACCCTTACATTTTTCACCCTAGGTGCCTCAGTTGCCTCACCCAGTCCCAGCCCTGGTCTTCCCTATCAGACTAGGAACTTCTCAAGAGTAGACCCCAGGTTTTTGTTGTTGTTGCTGTTGTTTGGTTTTATTTTTTGAGACAGAGTCTCGCTCTGTCACCCAGGCTGGAGTGCAGTGGTGCGATCTCAACTCACTGTAACCTCTGCCTCCCAGGTTCAATCGATTCCCCTGCCTCAGCCTCCGAAGTAGCTGGGACGACAGGGGCCTGCCACCATGCCCAGCTAATTTCTATATTTTTAGTAGAGGCGGGATTTCACCATGTTGACCACGCTGGTCGCCAACTCCTGACCTCAAATGATCCACCCACCTTGGTCTCCCACAGTGCTGGGATTACAGGCATGAACCACTGTGCCAGCCAACCCCAGGTTCTTATTCATGTTTGTATTCACAGTGAGTAACAAGAGGCTCTGCACAGAGTAGATATCTAGTTGAACAAATGACATCAGGCCCTTCTCTGTTTCAACAAGGGAAGGAGGTAAGAGGAAGTGGATAGTTTGGTGCCCTGTTGTGAATGGGAGAAGGAGAAGGTCAATTTAAGACTTCATCCTGGCCTGGACTGTAAGGACAGTTTTTCATCAGGTGGTTATGTCTTTGGCGTCTGGCAGATTTGGGACTCCTCCTACTTCTCTGGTCTCTCCCTCTCAGTGCCTTTCTCTGGTTAACTGGAGACATTCTCCAAAGTACTATGTTTGGGTTTTTTGTCCTCTTCTCTCTTCACTCTATTTTCCCAAGTGACCTTGTTTACTCCCAGAGCTTCAGTGAGAAGCTCTGCAGATGACTTCTAAATTAACACCTCATCTCTCTCCTAAGCCTCAGACTTGAATTTCTAACTGCCTACTACATACAGTAACATGTAGCATCAATATTTGCTCTTTTGTGTCTGTTGTCTCATCTGACCTTCTCAACACTTCTGTGAGAAAGTCAGGGCAGAATATGAACTCATTTTTTAGGTGAGGCTCAAAAAGGTTGTCTTGCCCAAGGTTTTATGGCAGACCTATGATTAGAAACTCAATCTGGGTGTTCTCTCTGCGTGCCATGTTGCATGGTGCACCACAAGGGTGTTTCAATGGAGTCTCAAAACCAATGTGATAAAAATCTCAACTTATTAGCAATCTTCTCCTATCCCTGACAGAACACACACACACACACACACACACACACACACCCCTAAAAACAAACAAACAAACAAAAAAATACTTGGCTGGGCGTGGTGGCTCATGCCTGTAATCCCACCACTTTGGGAGGCCGAGGCAGGCAGATCATGAGGTCAAGAGATCAAGACCATCCTGGCCAACATGGTGAAACCCTGTCTCTACTAAAAATACAAAAATTAGCTGGGCATGGTGGTGCGCACCTGTAGTTGCAGCTACTCGGGAGGCTGAGGCAGGAGAATCGCTTGAATCCGGGAGGCGGAGGTTGCAGTGAGCCGACATCACGCCACTGCACTCCAGCCTGGCAACAGAGCAAGACTCTGTCTGAAAAAAAAACAAAAACAAAAACAAAAAAAACTTGTCCCTGTGCTACCCATCTTTTTTTGTTTTGTTTTGTTTTTGAGACGCAGTCTCGCTCTGTCGCCCAGGCTGGAGTGCAGTGGCCGGATCTCAGCTCCCTGCAAGCTCCGCCTTCTGGGTTCACGCCATTCTCCTGCCTCAGCGCCCCCCACCCCCACCCCAGTAGCTGGGACTACAGGTGCCTGCCACCACGCCTGGCTAATTCTTTGTATTTTCAGTAGGGACGGAGTTTCACCATGTTAGCCAGGATGGTCTCGATCTCTTGACCTCGTGATCCGCCCGCCTCGGCCTCCCAAAGTGCTGGGATTAGAGGCATGAGCCACCGCGCCCGACCTGTGCTACCCATCTTGGTTAAAGGCATCTCACTCTCCCAGTCATCAAGGCTAGAAACCTGGGGTTCACGCTCAATTCTTCCCTTTCCCATAACCTTTATAGCCTTTACCTTTTATTGTTATTATTATCATTATTATTATTTTTTTTTGAGACGGAGTCTCACTCTGTCACCCAGGATGGAGTGCAGTGGCATGCTCTCAGCTCACTACAACCTCCGCCTCCCAGGTTCAAGCAATTCTGCCTCAGCCTCCCAAGTAGCTGGGATTACAGACACCTGCCACCATGCCCAGCTAATTTTTGTATTTTTGTAGAGATGGGGTTTCGCCATGTTGGCCAGGCTGGTCTCAAACTCCTGACCTCAAGTGATTCACCCGGCTCTGCCTCTCAAAGTGCTGGGATTACAGGCGTGAGCCACCCCCCAAGAACCTTTACTTCTAATGATTCATCAGATCCTGCAGCCTTGACCTTCAAAATGCCTGAAATTTACTTTGAATCTATCTTTTTTTCCCTTCCCTATCCCCACAGTCCCCATTGAGGTCCATAGAACCTCTTAGCCATACTCCTTCCACCAATCTCCAGGCTTCCAGGCCTACTCCCACTCGTTATTCTTCATATTGTTCTGGGGATTGTCTCCCTAAAGAAATAGATCTGAGCCTACCACCCCTTGGTTGGAAAAATCTCAGCCTTGCACTTCCCACCCCTACATCTGTGGCCTCCCAACCCTTTCCACTTTGTCTTTGAGGCCCAGGTCTAATTCCACCTCCCTTGGTAAACCCTCACATAGCCTCCCTATAAACGTGTTTTGTCTGTTTTTGAGACAGGGTTTCACTCCGTCACCCAGAATGGGTGCAGTGGGGTGATCACTGCAACCTCGCCTCCCAGGCGTTATAACCATCCTCCCCAGCCTCAGCTTCCTCAGTGACTGTGACTACTGGCGTGCGCCACCACGCCCAGTTAATTCTTGTATTTTTATTAGAGATGGGGTTTTGCCATGTTGCCCAGGCTAGTCTTGAACTCCTGGGCTCAAGGGATCCTCCCACCTTAGCCTCCCAAAGTACTGGATTACAGACGCAAGCCACCGCACCCAGCCTCCCTGTAAACCTGGAGTAATTTATTCCTCTGTCCTCCCATAGCACTATTCATTTTATTCTGCCTGTATTACGACTAATTGTGTACTATTTGGTCTCCCCTATAGCCTGGGAGCCTGCTGGGGATTGGATCCTGGTCTAACCAGTCTTTGTCTTTTTTGAAGCATGTAATCTAGGTCTTTAAACATAATAGGTCCTTAATACATGGCTAGTGAGTATTTTTTTTCCTTAAGTGTTTGGAAACTTGTTATAAAAAAAAAGACCACATTCCCAGTACATTCAAAGTAAGACAATAAAGTAAGAATGATTCTCAAACACCTGACTTGTTTACACTTGGAGAGATTTGATGTTATCCAGTGTTGCTCCTCTATATCCATCACCCAGAAAAGACAAAAGACCAAAGACAATTTTAACTCTTTATTTGAAACAAACAATTTCAGAGACAGAAGGTTAGTCGTGACAACAGCTTTTCACTACAACACAAGGGTGGGCATGGCTCACTGAAGGGACAGGCCAGGCGCCTCAGAACAATATATACAATTTAAACAGTGGCTAACTGGTGACAGTTATAAAAACACAAAAAGGAGCCTGGGAAACAGCAAAGTCAACAGGGAAAGAACTGGGTACCCCCTTTGCCAGAAGTTAATTGTTTTCTAGGACCTCCAAGGCAAGATGGGGAAGAGAGAAGATGTAGGCAGTGGGGCAGGCCCTGTGCCCACAGCTCCTCGCCTGTCCTTTGACCACAGATCCCATCCTGCATGACTCAAGCCCCCACAGGCTTGGCCTGGCTCTTATGATGGGGGAATAATAGAGGGGAACCCAGCCTCAACCCAAGTCAGAAGGTAGTTTTTGCCTTGGGAGCTCTGTCCATTGAACTAAAGGGAGGCAGTTACAGAGGGGGCTAAGCATGTTGACACCATGGCTCATGGCAACCTAAGATGGCAGAGAGACAAACACAGAAACCAAGGGGACAGGAGTCTGCACAACAGGAGTCTGCTCCCCGTACTTAGTCATTCTCTGCCTCTGAGGAAAAAAAGGCATTTGGAAGATTTTAAAAACTGCAGCACCAAGGGTTGGTGCTTGCCGGGGGGGTGAGGGATACGCGGTGGTGAGAGGGTGCCAACAACCAATTATTTCATAGGAGGGGAAGAGTGTCTAAACTCTGTGTTTTATGTAAATGGTCCCCTCATCGCTTTCATTGTTTATTTCATACCTTTCAGATGAGACCTTTTTGCGTGGTGCTGGGGGAGAGTAGAGAAGGGAGTGGGCACAGGGCAGAGAAGGCAGCTGGGTTTTTCCCTAGGTCATGCCTGGGAACAAGAGGCTTTACCTATGCGGGATGGGTCAGGAAACCCAAAGCCAACAGGATCACCAGAGCTATTAACACTCCACCCAGAGTCTGGACCCAGAAGGAGGGGGTTTACTCTGAAGCATAAAGAAAACGGGCAAGCTGGCTTTTGCCCATCACTGGGAGACCAGCCCCTGAGTACAGAAGACCGGGGCCCCATGGTTGTCAAGTGGTATGGAAGAAGATAAAAGCCAGGGTTCCTAGAGAAGGCAGGGAATGGGTGAGCGGAAAGGAGCAGTCAGGGCCCTTCAGAATGAGTAGCATTGGTTCCTGGGCCTGTCACCCTGAGGGACATGACCACAGGACAGACATTGATGTGAAAGATGGATATGGATGGCACACGAGCTCAGTCCAGGTCTTCCTCCCCAGGACGACCCAGTTCCTCATAAATCTCGCGCACAGCCAGGATGCGATTGAGCATGCTCTCCAACATGCTGCGGTCCATGGGGATCACAGAATACCAGAGAGGTGACTCGGCGATGCAGGACCTTTCCGGTTGCAGGTAGAACACATCGTTGCGAGTCCGGAGGCTTTCAGGACTGCAACGTCGGGGGTGGGGGTGGGGATGGCAGGACAGAAGATCAGTACCAAGGCAAAGTAGATCCCTCGGGTCCCCATGCTAACGCTCTTCCTGCCAACCCACCAACTCACCATTTTGAGAGATAGAATTCATAGAACTTGACAGGGCAGCGGAGAGGATTCATGCGGTTCTCACGCTGCTCTAAGATAGGGGCTTCATCTTCTCTCTTCCGTTTTCCAGGACCCGTGTCTGTAGGGGAGGGAAATGACTCAGACTCATTAAGAGCACAGGCTTCACGAGCCTCATCCAAGAGCACAGTCCAGGGCACAGGGAGAAGGCATCACGACACAAATTACAGTCTCATCAAGATGGAGAGGTGGAAGAAGAGGTCAGTCTCCCTCTCCCACGCCAACCCAACATCCTGTCGAGCTGTTGTTATGCAACCCTCCCCGGTTCCCACTGCCAAAGACTCTCTTTAAAATCTCCCCCAAGTTGCTGTCTTGAAGAGGTGATCTCAGAAGTTATTCAAAAAACCTGATAAAACAGACCCTACTGCAAGGGCGGGCTTGCCTTCTGGGATAGAGAAACAGCAATGGCCCCAACCCCTCGTGCATTAGTCCAGGTAGAAGCATGGGTCCAGAGAAGGGACCTTGGGAACTGCACTCAGACAGGACAGAAATCCAGGAACAGAAAAAATGGAAACCAAGGTGCAGTTGTTGTTAGGCCCGACAGCAAAGAATCAGAGAAAGCCTGTCATTCATTCAGTCTACCCCCCCGCCACAGTCAAACACACCCAAAGGTTTCCTACCTGTCCACCACCCAGAAAAAGCAGGCAAGCAAGTAAACTGTCTTAAATGAGGAAAGGGGGGAGAGAGGTCACAGGGTGACCTCCTATTTATGCGACAGCCACTGCCCATCAAGTAGGAGGACTGGCCGTTTCTACCCTTTCTGCACACAGCAACGGAAGGAGAGGGAAGCTAGGGGCCAAGGAGAGGGCTGACCTGGCAGGTATGGTGGGTTATGGCAGGGCATGGAAGGGGAAGGCAGAAAAGGGGCAAAAGCACAGGGGAGGGGGCAGCCTCGTACCTCGCCCTTTCCTCTGGCGGACTGGGGCATAGTAGCGGATGCTCACCACCTTGGTGGTGCCCCGAGGGGTGGTACACTTGCGGGACTGCCGCACCACATTGGTGAAGGAGAGTTGCATGTGTTCCTCAGCTGTCTGTAGCCCAAAAAACTTAGTGTTGAAGAACATGAGGGTGTTGAGAAGGACAAAGGGCGAGTAGACCCCCAGTTGCTTACACTCCCAGAGGTGCTCCTCCTCCACTCGAGAGAACACCGTATCTACAATGGTCAAGGGGGAGAGGCGGGTCAGGAGGGAGTGGCTGCCCAAACCCAACCACTTCCCATCCCATGTGCCCTGCTCATTTCCCACACCATTCTCATTTGGTGAGTAACCTTCATATATAAAACACTGTCACTTTGCTACACTTGCTACACTACACAGTGGGACAGGGCTTTAAATAATACATACTTTCCACTCCTGCATTTGGAACGTCTCTCACCACCCTCAAGTTGTAGACAGGTAAATGTAAACCTTGAGGAGTCCCACGATTTCTTGCTCTCTTTCTTTACTTACCACCCAAACCCAGGCCATCTTTTTCTGGTCCTAGAGATAGCTCTTCAGACCTAAGTCTTGATCCCCTCCTCATGTTCAAGAACAGGCGCTCCTATGCTCCTTTAACTCTAAACCCTGAGGCATCCAGCTACACGCTCCTGCCCTCGGGCCCTTTGTGAAGAGTGGCAGACCAAATAGCACAGGAGTCTTGGGATGGTGGATCGGAAGAATGGAAAAAGGGTGTGTAGGGGTTGCTACGTCCCTGTCCCTTACTGTTGGGGAGGAGTGTGGGCTGCCAGGTACTCAGAGACTTATTGAGTTCTTGAACGAAAGTCAGGTAGTAAAGGTCCGTGAAAATGTTCACCATCCGGTTATTTTCCAGCAAGTACTGGGGAAAGAAAAACAGACACACATAAGGCTAGACTGCAGGTCCTCGAAGAAAGATAATGATGCTGAAGCCCCCAGGTATGGTGTCGTCAATCATTAGGAGACGATGGGAAACAGTTGCTTGATTAGGTGGCCTTGAGTGCTTTCCCCCAGGTATACCTACAGCTCTGCGCTACTCAGGCTTTGCTGGAAGAGGAGGAGGCTTGGAGGAGATGTTCTTTAGAAGCCCACACCTCCTTGTCAGGTAATACGTGGTTGACTTCTCCCAGGGGGAACTAAACATTACGCCAGCACTCAAGGATCCCAGCTCCACCCATCCCTCCCCTCCTAGAATGGGCTTAAATACTACAAAGGGGACCTGGATAGTAATGAAGACTGCTCCTTGGCCAACAGTCCTGGAATGCAGTTTTGATTTTAGAAAAGTATTGATATCTCATGTTCTATTTGGAATAGGAGATTAAAGGCAAGCCGCCTGCTTGAGGTAGGGGACAAGATGAGGAACAGGGAGTGCAACAGAATAATTGCTTTTTTTTTCATTAAATATTTTTTGGGTAGAGATGCGGTATCACTTTGTTGCCCAGGCTGGTCTCAAACTCCTGGCTTGAAGCGATCCTCCTGCCTCAGCCTCCCAAAGTGTTGGGATTACAGGCGTTAGCCACCGTGCCCAACCCAGAATCATTTCTGGTTAGACCCTGCCTGCTGTGTTAAGAGTGACAGGAAGCAAGGTGGTGCATGAGAGGTACCTGCTGGATGCCAAGACACAAATAGTAGATACTGTCAGGTTCGTATCGTTCACCATTGGGCCGAGTGATTTCTCTCACAAACTGGGCCAGACCGTAGTTGAGCTCAGCAGCTGAGCAGGCGAGAATATCCTCTTTGATACGCATGGGTTTGGCTGCAGTGATATGTTGTGCAGGGACAGGATTAAGAAAAACTCTACATGGAGAATTTCACTTAGCTCCACCACCATTAACCCCTTCATCCCTTAGTCATGCCTAGCTCCTGAACAATTACAGAAAGAGCCCCTAACCTTGAACCTAGACAGCATTTCCTTTAATCTACAACTCCTCCCCATCTTCACAGGGCATCCTTAAGTCATCACACCCTTATCACTCCTAGACATCTTCAGCTGAATCACAGGCCCAGCCCCTTCTTCCCTTTCCCCTCCTCCTCCCTGTCTTTGCCCTCCCCTACCCCCAACCCCAAGTACTTACGGCCAAAGCGCAGCTCATCACCCTTGCTGGTTTCTCCATTGGCATATTTTGACTGCACCCAGCACTTCCAAGCATTGACACCATATGAATAGTTGAGCCCGGTACAACTAGGCTGACTGCTCATGGAGTCCCGGGAGCAGCTTTCGGAAAGCACCAGCCGCTTTTGACCCTGGAGGAGAAGAGAAAGCAGGGGCATGGCAGAGATAAGGCCAGAGGCAAGGTGAGAAAGCTAGTCAGCACCATATTTACTGCTGGCCGGGGCAGGGGCTGATGTAAGTACACAGCAAGCTTCCACAGCACAGAGCCCCAGGAATAGCTTTGATGACCTTGTGAAATGGGGAAAGAGTAAAGTTTGGCTTTATCTCAGTACTTCTAGTGTTGGAGAAAGGAGGTTAGGGAAGGTCAAACTATGGTTGCTGGCTTGGCTCTCACATCCTCTCCCCTTTGGGCCTCCATTCTTCTTTTGTACATATGGTAGCCCCAGCCCTACCTTCCTCATGGTTCGGGGAAGGTCTTGTTCAGTAGACACATCCTCAGGCCCTACCAGGCCACAATCAAAGAGGAAGTCTACACTGGGATTAATGTCCAGAGGATCTAATAAAAAGGAAAGAAAGAAGAAATCAATTTCTTAAGATCTCAACCCTGCAGCCCTCCTGCCCCACCCCTGCTACTTGCCCACTTGACACTAGATGAGCCAAAGGAACCAGTAAAGCTATACCAAAAAGCATGCTCAGAGTCACAGAAACACAAAACACAGCAATGTGAACTACTGAACTGTAAACATGTTGAACATAGTGAAAAAAATTTTTTTTTTTTTTTTTTTGAGTCTCCCTCTGTCGCCCAGGCTGGAGTGCAGTGGCGCAATCTCGGCTCACTGCAAGCTCCGCCTCCTGGGTTTCCTGCCTCAGCCTCCCGAGTAGCTGGGACTACAGGCACCCACCACCACGCCCAGCTAGTTTTTTGTATTTTTTTAGTAGAGACGGGGTTTAACCGTGTTAGCCAGGATGGTCTCGATCTCCTGACCCGGTGATCCGCCCGTCTCAGCCTCCCAAAGTGCTGGGATTACAGGCTTGAGCCACCGCGCCTGGCCGAACATAGTGAAATTTTTATGTTTTTTTACAGTTTAAAAATAATAAAAAAAAAAAGCATGACTCAGAAGTCTAAAAGAATGCACCTGTCCTGGTATCTCTGGCACTGCTCCCTGTGAGAACCTTCTGTCTTAGAATCACAATGAACACTTTTCAGGGTCACACTCAGGGACACAAGGAACATTCCCTTCCTGATGGCACGAATGCTACCATACCCAGTGGGCACGGCTCCAATCTTACTCACTCTTAGGGAAGTCTGCCTCCAAGTCTTGCCCAGGCTCATCCAAGACATTGGCCATCTTGACTGCCATGGCCAGGACATCATCTCGAGCAGGCCCAAACAGGTCACAGTCTTCCAGGAGTCCCTCTGCACTCTGGTTGCTCACAAGATCTGGGAAGCAGAGAAGTGGGCTCAGTGGCTACAAGCTCCTGCTAGCACCCTCACAAGCTTTCAGGGGCTGATCCCAACTATCCTCCCATTCTACTAGGCACCAAGATCATCAATAGCTCCCCCTCGGGCAGAGACACGCTGGTAGCACCCTGTCTCCCTCATCGCCACCATCTATGGCATACCACAAAGGTCAGATGAGGCCTTGTCTAACTCCTCAGCCTCTGCAATCATTTCTGCCATAGCCAGGATGTCGGCCTCCAAGGGGTTGGAAGGGATCTTCACCTTCAGCTCCTCAATGGTCTCTACAATCTTGTCTGTGCTCTCCAAGGTAGTGGGCAAGAACATGGGCACAGGCACCTGGAGGCACGAATCCCAACTAAATGCCAAGAACCACACCAGCAGTTGGGGGGAAGGGGGGGACAGATGATGAGAGTGAAGGGGGACAGTTGATGAGATTAAGGGGAAAGGGTGGATCTCAAACCTGGAAGGGGAAAGGAGGACCCAGCCAGGAAGGGCAGGGAAACTTACCGGGATAGGCATCGAGAAAGGCACCGGGACTTTCTGGCAGTACAGATGCATAGGCACTGGCACGAAGATGGGCACTGGGATGGGCAGCACAATCACCTGTGGCTTCCATTCTTCTGTGGAGGAGAAAGGGATCTTCTCAGAGACCCTGCTGGACTGATCACATCGGACCCGCCAAAAGCTCTAACGTGCTCAGTGTCACAAAACTGCCCTTGAAGCAATGACTGAAAGACACCTCTACGATTTTAGGACAACCATATGCATGAGGCTTCAGCTACCTAAGGAATCCCCTTGTCCAGCTCACGTACATAGGGCTGGCAGGCCTAGGACTCCGGAATACAGCCTGTGGCATCGAGGTACCCTGGCTCACCTGTCTGACTCCCTTTGGACTTCATCTCCACCTTGCAGGAGACGCCCCGATTCTGCATCAGCGGCTTACACATGGCAGCCTTGTTTTTGCGGGGTGTTGCCGGGGGCGGTGGGGGTGGAGGAGGGGTGGGAGCCGTGGGAGCTGATCGGGTCTTCACAGGGATCTGCAAAGAAAAAGGAACATTTGTGCCGCCAACTGCCGTACCCTCCTCTGAGATTATCCTCCCCCTTGGCTTTTGCCCCGACCTTGCCCAAATTCCCATTTTCCTCTGGGGTCCTCACTGTGTTGCTGTTCTCCACTTTGGTTTGAGAGGGTGTCTGGGGTTTTGACTCAGGAGACTGACCTGTAGATCAAAACAAATGAATGCTCTCATCCAAGGGACTAGCTCTCCATTTTCCTTACCCCTGTTCCAGGAGAGCTTCATTAACAGGTACACCAAATACAGATGGGAAGTTCTAGGATTTGCCCCCCTTGCCATCCCAGATCTTGTCTCCTCTGTGCCCCAGCAATAGTAGCCTAAAAGACTCTTTGCTCCTTGAGAATGAAACATTACATTTTCCCCAAAAACCCACAATTGAGACCTTCCATTTAGATAGCAGGGGTATCCCTGGAGTTGTGGAGGGGCAGGGGCAACATTCTAGAAATGGCAGTCTTCAGTCTCACTAAAGATAGAGTTTATGCTGAGATTTCCTTATCTCAGAAAAGTAACCGTAACCCCTATATGCCCCATCCTATCAGGATAGGCACCCACTCCCTAATAATATACATTTCATAGACAATCAGTAGACGCTAACTCCAAGAAGTTTTAAATAAGACTTCCCCTTCTGAACCTGAAGGGTTCGGAAGCTAAGAGAGAATACAGTTCACAGTACTAGCACCCTATCTGGCCAGGGATGAGGTGAATGCAAGAGGAAGGAGAAAGGGGCTAGGCTTAGGATTAGGAGAGTCCAGGCCCCCTCTAACAGAGTGTACCCCCTGCCCGGGACTCACTGTTCAGGAGGCTCTCGGGCCCACTCTGGGTATCCAGGTTGGGTTGGTTCTGCTGGCTATAGAAGCGCAGAAGACACTGCTGGTTGCAGAAATGACGGATCTGCCCACGCCAGTGGATGGTCTCCAGCAGCTTCCCCTGGCGCTTACAGGCATGGCACCGGGCAGCCTGAGGATGTCAAAAGGATGGTCAGACCTGCCTCCCTAAAATGCGTTGGGCCCTTTCTTTCCCCTGGGATAAGCCATGCTCCTCCGCTTGGAGATCGGGCCGGCTTAGAGATGGAAGGCTGGCTGCCCTGCCTGGAGATCTGTCCACACCCCGAGCTTAGTACCACAGCCTGTGCTCCCCGCCGCCCTCTTTCCCACCTCGCTCACGTGCTGACCCTCCTTACCTTGCAGTACCACAGCAGGTACTTGCTTTTACAGTCCTCACTGCAGAAGTCCCAGGTGCTGCCATCCAGTTGCTCAGTGACTCCGCGCTGGCAAGTCTGGGAGCAGTAAGTACAAGTGATACAGCACAAGCCCAGCTTCTTAGTGAAGTCCTGTTTGTACAGCAGCACACAGCCTGGAAAGAGGGGAAGAGGAAAGAGAGTCCAGAGACACAGATACCCAAGGGTAAGAGACCCAACCTTTTCAAGGTGCTACACCTGAAACCTCTCTCTAAGCAGCCCCTTGTGCCCAAAGCTTTAGGGGAGATGGGGGTAGAGCATCCCGGGCGGAAGGCTCTGTCTCACGGACCACTTTCCCAGCCTCCCTCCCTTCTCCTCCATTCTCCCTGGTTGGGAGTTACGTGTCTCCTGCCCTTCCCCATCTCCTTACCTTCGCTGCAGAAGCTCTTCTCCACTCCGCTGAATCGGAGTTTCTCATGCAAGAGTTTCTCCTGCCGACAGTGCTCACACTGGGACACCACACCCCGAAGCCGCTTGAAGTCCTCACAGCAATCACGGCAGCAGAACTGGAACACTTGGTCCTGAGGTGGGGGCACAGGGCAGGGAGGATAAGCTGTAACATCTGGCCTCAGCAGGGGCCAAGTGGAAGGACCCCTTCAGACAGTCTGGTCATGTGGCAAGATGTGGGTGGGGGTGGGGCTCTTACCTGCCAGTCCAAGACCTCAGGCTTGCCACTGAAGAGGCTGTGGCAGTAGTGACAGCTCAGGTGAATGCCCCCTTCGGGGCTTGTGCGCTGGAGGGAAGGAAGACAAGTAAGGGAGGGGCAAGATGTGTGCAGCAGTGGGGAAGGGGAGTCAGGCTTGTTCTTTGCTCTGCCCAGGCCTGCCTACCCCAATTCTTCGACCCTCTTTATGTTGCCACACCCTTCTATCCCTGGTCCAGGGCCTGGAGTACCTGGAACTTGGTCCAGCAGCTGGGGCTGCAGAACTGGTAGACTGTGCGGTCAACCTTGTTGTAGTAACAGGGGTCAGAGAGGCTGCGGCGGCAGAAGCTGCAGGGTCGGGGAGGGCCTGGGGCATAGAGAGAAAGAGAGAGAGGAAAAGAAAAAGAGAGAGGGAGAGAGAGAGCACACAGAAGGTGTAAGGCAGTGCAAGAGACGAACAGAAATTCCACGGGGAGATGTGGTTGGGGCTAAGGTCGGGCAGCAGGGATTACTCTGGAAGAGGGGAGTATGAGAGGTAGAGAGAAGGCCAGCAGGGGACTCAGAGAAGAGGGCTTTGCACCTACCAGTGAGCCCTGCCTGCTTCACTTTGTAAGAAGTGGTACAGCACAGGGAACAGAACAAGCTGGTCTTGCCATTACGATCCACATGTGATAGCATCTCAAAGTTCTTACACAGGGTCTTGCACCAGACACATGGGTACACACGTGTGTTTTTCTGTGAGGATGGGGAAGGAGAGGCTGAGGCTGGATTTGTCCCTTCACTTTTATTTTTTAAATGTTTTAAACATGAAATATTTCAGGCATACAAAAAAAGTATAGATGATGATGTAACAAAGACCTGTGTATCCACCAGCCAGCTTCAAAAATAAAACATAACAGATACAATTGAAACCCCCTTTATTTGTTTTATTTCTCCCAGTCCTTGACCTGTCAGCCACCTTTATTTATCACCCAAGAACCACACCCCCTTCCACAGCCCTCTAATGCACTACTCCCTCGGCCCCACCTTCTTATACGCCCCCAAGCAGGTTGTGTTGCAGAACCGCTTTTGTTGGCCCTCGTGGAAGAGGAGCTCAGGGCCAGGGCTCCCGGTCTTGGTGTAGATGTAAGCCCCACACTGGTCACAACAGTTGGTTTTCAGTCCCTTGTTGGCCCGGAATTTGGAGAAGCAAGAATCGCTGCAGAGCCGGTGCACCACGCTGCCATTGCTGACCTCATGCAGGACCTGCCACACACACACGCACCCTGAGCTAGGGCCTGGCCACCACCGCCCACCCCAATGCAAGGTCAGCCCCCCACCTCACCCTAGACCTTCACAGCAGACAGTGGGCCCAGGGACCCCCCAACCTGCGCCGCAGGCTGCCGACTTGATGGTGAGGTCCTGGGAGGTAAAGAAGGCCAGCTGTGCGCATCCTGGAGAAGCTCTGTCCTTGAATACGCTCCCTCATGATGGCCGCCTTTCCTCCCCACTCCCCTTTCCACAGGGCCTGGCCCCTGCAGCCCCAGCATGGGAGGGGCAGGTCAGGGCTGTCCAGGCTCTGTAAATCAGCCCCCACCGAGTGTCCTCACCTCTCCAGTCTTCTGGCATATGCTGCAGCGAGTGGCATCGGCGGGATCCCCAGACTGGGGGATCGGGCGCTGCTGCTGGGCCTCATACAGGGAGAGACAGACGGACGTGCAGAACTCATGGAAGGAGCCTCCGGAACCAGTCTGCGCCACAACTGAGTCCTTGGTGTTCCAGATCTCCCTAGAGGTGGGAACAGGTTTGAATATTCACTCAAGACCACCCTCTCATTTCCTCAGCTTCTGCCCCTCGTCTAGGATCAATGACCACAGAGCCAAATACTCTGACTCCCTCCCTACATCACTCTCTCACCCAGCTCCATCCTGCTAGGTTCTTACCAACAGTCTGTCTTACTCATACTCCTGCCCAGATCCCTGCCCTCTGCACAGCCCCCAAGACCCTCACGCACTTCTTGCAGAAGGTACAGGTCTTTTTGCCCGAGGGCTTCTTGGAGAAAGTGGTGAGGCAGGATGATGAGCAGAAGAGCTGAGGCAGCCCCTTGCGCTGATAGGCAGTCTGCCCCTTCTGCAGTGGTGTCCGGCAATGTGCACAAGTCATCTTGGTGCCCACTGCAGAGCGCCCGGCCCTTTGTGACACACTTGAGCGTAGGGACATGCGAGGAGAGCGCCGGGGCCGGAATGGCACAAAGTCCTCATCATTAGGGTCATCTACCATGGCATCAGAATCCTCATCTGACACTGGAACTGCGAAAGTAGGGGGGTGGACATGAGAAAGGCCACCAAACCAGGTCTCCAACCATCCCCTGACCAACAGTTCAGTCCCTCTCCTGGGATCTCTGTTGTTCTGGCCTTTACACCCTGGCCCTCGTTACATTAGTATTTTAAGACCTCGGTGTCTCTCTCCCTTGGTTACTCTGTAACCTCCCAGGGAGGGAAAGGGAGAGGCTCTAAATGAGAAGATTCGGAGACAGAGATGGCATAGCTGAAACAGGAAACTCGCCATTCTCACTGCTCTTGTTTTCAATTTCCCCCACTGCCCCTGGTTCCCATGCCAACCCATAGCGGAGACAGGCACTTCACGCGCTGCATGGAGCAGGACTACAGGAGCTAGAAGATCCATGCCCTGCCGCGTGCCACTTTCGGATCTTTTCCACACCCAGAACTCCCAGGTCACACTTCCTCAAATCCTACTTACTGCTCTCAGTGGAATCTACAACCTCAGGTTTTGGAGGTTCTGCTCTCCTAACGCGTTCGCTTCTCTTCTGTACCTTGGAAAGACGGGAGGGGAGGAAAACTGACACCCTGGCCAGGCTAACACTAGTACAGGGTTTGCGGGGGGATAGAAGATGGGAGGGGGAAGGGAGAGTGGGGACCCTTGGCCCAGCCCTTAGGAGGAGGGAAGAAAAGGAGGCTGGACTTTCTCCCCAACAAGCAGTAGACACTAGTGCTCCCTCCCTCCTCCTAACTCTCCTTATACACACTCTCTACAGAACAACATCTGGGAGGGAAAATGAAGGGTCTGTCCTTCCCAGAGCTAAGGGGGAACCAGACTCCTTCCAATCCCCTCCCCCTCACCCGTTCAGGCGGCTTCTCACTCGCCTTCGCAGTCAGGCCATCTCCTGCAAAGGAAGCAGAAGGCAGCCTAAATGTTGAGCCTGCCCTCACCACCCCCTCCCCGGCCCAACCCCCGCCTCCATTCCTGGGGAAGAACTTACTCAAAACTGAAAGGGAAAACTCGAGTGCCTGTGGCTTCTTGGGGCCCCTCTCAGGGTTACCTCAGGCTCTGTACTAAGGTGGGGGGGGGTGCACGTGCAGCTATTCCATGAAAAAAAAATCTATCCTTCCCACCAGCTTTCTGTCCCAATCCTTGGAGGTTAAGGAAACACAGGTAATATACCTTTCATTAAGAATTTATATTTTACCAATGAAACACACACACAACCACCCAAAGGTAGCAAAAGGAAAAGGAAGCATCAATGTATGGGTAGCTTCCCCTGGATTCAGGTGGTTATATAAGCCCTAAGACCCTCGTCACAGCCTGATAGAGGCACACCACTAGGCAGAAGAGGGGAGAAACTAGAGCCTCTCAAGTCAAAGTTGTCCCTCCCCTATCACAGACTCAATCCTAGACCCTGCATTTCTACCGCTCTGCTGAAATCCTTATGCTGTTAGGGGCTCCAGAACCTAGTTACCATTCATCAAACCCAGAAATCCCACTCCCATCTGGAACCAAAAAGCTGTAAAGGTCTTAGAACCAAGAAGCCTGGTGTACCCCTCCAAATCCTGAAGGACGGACTCTGGCACCAAAAGCCCATTGGGGCAGGAAAAAGGGAACCCTTCCCACCAAATCCACTCCTCCCAACCTACGCTCCCTGAAACCTTACCTCATTCCTCCCCCACAGCCTGTGCCCACCCCTACTTTCCTTAATCTTCCTCTACACACTACCCCACTCCTCCCTCCTAAACCCCAAGTCCTTCCCCACACATCCCTACACTTATCTCCCCACCCTCCTCCTCCCCACTACTTCCCAAAGCACATAGCCACCCCTCCTTACCACCACCCTCTCCCAGCCCTGATTCTCCAGATAATTAGGCAACCTACCTGGCAAGGAAGGATGTGCAGGGGGGCTAGAGCCCCCAGGTTTGGTCTGAGAACTGTTGATTCCATCCCCCAGAGTCTCTCCCACTGAAGGGCTAGGGGGGGCATTTGGGCTCTGTGGCTGCCCTTGGGGAAGCTCCTCCTCCTGCCCAGGGGAGCCCCTTCTCGCAGTAGCTATGGAGGTGGTCTCCTCCTCTTCAATATGTGAGGACTGCAGGGTTATTGGAGAATCTGGAGCCAAAGGCTCTAGTAGCCCCTCGGGTGAACAGGAATTTGCCCCAGCCCCCGGATCAGGTGGTACCACCTCAGGGGTCTGGCCCCCTGGTCCAGGCTCTAGGGTCTGATCCCCCGCATCCCATGCCAGGGTTCCCTCAGGACCGTGGTCCACCTCCGGGGGAGAGGGGGCTTTATAGAGCAGCCCCCCCAGCCCCAGCAACTCAGTGGCTCCATCCAGGACTCCAGGGTCTTTTTCCAGGCCAGCAGGGGTATCAAGCAGGTCCAGGGCTCCCGAGGATGGAGAAGGGCCAGGGGGGGCCCATCCTCGAGTTGGGGCAGTCTGGGATTCCAGCAGATCCTCTCCAAATTCCATGTCTACTGGTAGGTCTCCAGCCAGGGGCTTCTCTGGCAGGGTCAATGGGTCAAATGGACTGGGGAAATCACTGGGGTCCATGAGTATGGCTGGATATGTACTGCAGATTAGGAGGAGAAGAGGAGGCAGTAGAGGTGGTCTTAGCCAGAATTCCTTCTTACATGGGCTCTGAGACACACCCCATCATCCACTTGGATTTCTCATGAACAGCCCCCACCACCACAATCTACAAGCATTTCCGAAGGCTTTAGTCCTAATGACCACTCCCCCCAATACAGCGCCCCCAGTGGGGAGAGGCGTTCCCCGCCCTGGCCCCGTGCCCACACTGGCCAGGCAGTCGGTCGTTCCACCCGCCCACCCCCCTACTCGACTGCAACTCCCATTCCCTTCCCCCTTACCTTTCACCCCCCGCAACTCAGGCTGAACGCCCCCTTAGAGTCTCCTAAGGCCGTCGCCACCAGGAGCCTTTCCCGCCCCCGCGATCTCAGTTTCTATTCCCTCCCCACTCTGCTGGAGCCCCCCAGCTCCCCAGTCTTTACCCACCCAGTCTGGCCCCACCCCCCCTCCCCGCGTTGCTAGGTCCTCCCTCGGCCCTTCCCCCGCCCCCACAAACTGCCCTTCGCAACCCCTTCCCCCAGTTACCTTTCAGGTCGCCCACTTCCTCAGCCCCGTCCCCCTTTCCCATTGCTCCTCCAGTCCTCCCTTCTCCTGTTGCCCACCCCCAACCTCAGGCATTTACAGGAAGACATTTTGGAGCTACGATCTCTCCTTAGACCCCCCCCCACCGCCTCCCGGCTACTGCAAGATCCCGCTTGCAGGTTCGGTTCGGCTTGAGCAGGCCCGACCCCTACCTGCGGCAGGGTTAGTGCAAAGGCTACAAGCCTAGAACTGCAGACAGCGACGGCCCCGCGCTCCTTCTCCACCTCCCTCCCTAGCAGCCGGGACAGGGGTCGCGGCCCCTTTAAATGGCAGCGCCGCTCGCAGCGCCCAGCGCTCTGCACCAGGCGGGCGGGCGGTGCCAGCAACCAACCCCATTGGCTGGCTCCAGGAGGGGGCTCGCGAGACAGCGCCGGCCCCCGGCGCGAGACTCCCAGTCCAGTGGCCGCCTGGAAATTGCGGAGTGGAGTACAGCCACTGGAGGCGGCGCCTGAGCCCCCGCCCGGGGCCCCGTTAGTTGAGAAGGAAAAGATAGCCTCTGGAGCTTTGAAGCCGGCCCCCCGGGAAAGGCGGCGTCCCCTTTCCATCCAAGGGCCGAGTGCGCTCACCCACCAAAAACACAGATCTACGCACCTGCTCCCCTTACCTGGCTCAAGAGTCTGGCCCCCGTCACACCCTGCCCGCCCTGCCTCCTGGAGCCCACTCTACCCGTGATCCCCTCCTCTCATTCAAATGGTTCCCGGTCCCCTCCCCCTCCCCGTGTCTCTCTTCGCTTCCCACTCGTGTTCACCCCCCCGGCGTCCGCCCCCCTCAATAGTCCCTACCTACGCCATGCAGCAGGCGCCTGCCAAGATTACCCTCCCCCATCCCCACCTCTCCGGGGCCCGCCCCCTGGGCGACTGTTGGGGTAGTGAGTGACAGCGGAGGATGGGGGGAGGCAGGGACCCAGCCCTCACGTGCCCCTCCTCCCCTTGTCTGCAGCCCCGGGGCCCCCAAAACAGTCTGAGAGTCAGAGTTATGGGGTATCTGAAGCTTGATCCCCAGCCACACAGGTCGGGTTAAATGGTTCTGGCTCAGTGGCAACGCCTGTGCAGTAACCGTTACTGCTTGATGACCCCCAAGCCAGGTCCTGCAAAGCCACCCCCTACTCTCTCAACAGTCTTAGGGTAAGTTCTGGGATCTTCTCCCTGAGTCTTCCTGCAGGAGCTCCCTGCATTATCTCTGGAGTTTTCCTCCCTCACCAGGGCTGATCTCTCTGTCTCTGTCTCTGTCTCTCTCTCCCTCCTCCCGCCCCCTTTCTGTCCTTGTCTGTCTCTCTCTTCTCGCTCTCTCTTTCTCTCTCTCCCCCTATCTCTTTTTGTCTCCGTCTCTGTCTCTCTGCTTCTCGTGCGCACGAGCACGCAGGCGCGCTACACGCTCCCCCCTCCTGGATGGTCCTTAGCATGTGGGTGTGGCTGAGGTTAGGCTAGAGAAGTGGAGTAGGGGTAGGTGGCACTAGCGTTAAGCCTACTGCCTTTAAAAAATGTGTGCCAGCATCCATTCTCAGTCCGCATTATATTAATAGTTAGAGCACTTTACAATCCCCGCTCCCCACTTCCCACCCCAGCCCCTAAGGGCTGAGAGCATTTAGTAGCTGAACTACCAGAGGAGGCTCAGGCTGGAAGGAAGTCTCCTTAGGAACAGGAAGGTTTGGTATCCAGTGCCTATTCTAGCCTGCCTCGTTGACTTCTGGCCTCTCCTCTTGGCCACACAAAGCCTCTCCTGGCCTTGTAGTCCTCGGGAGTTTACCCTCCCTTTTCTCATTCCTTTTCTCAGAAACCTTATCCTTCCTAGCTCCCCACATGGCCTTGAGGTTATCTTTGCTCCCTCCTACATACAGAGATAAAAGCCAGAGTTTCTTACTTTTAGGTTTCCCAAATCCAGCTTTCTCTTTATCTTAACCAGCATTCTATGTACCCATCTCCTACCTCCTGTTTATTTCTATTCCTGGACCTCCCCTTTGCGTTTTCTGCTTGTTCCATCTCAGTTGAGCCACCTAGTTTTTTCTATATTGCCTGCCTTCCTCAATATATACTTGAATCCTTGGCTGCTCTGCTTGTGGAGGTGCCTGGTCACTATCTTTCAAGTTGAGGGGAGCTGATCTAATGGAGTTAAGTGGTATATTATTAATTCTAGGCGCAGTGTGGTGGCCTAAGAATGGGTTCTGGAGTCAGACCAGATTTCTAATCTCAGTTCTGCCTACTTTTTAGCCAGGTGACTTTGGACAAGTGACTTGTCAAGTGAAGGGCCTTAGTTTTCTCCTCTTTAAAACAGATAAGGAAACAATCTAAGTGTCCAATAATAGGGGATTTTGGTTATACAACGGACGTAGTCATTAACAACCACATTTTAGGTAGGGCGCGGTGACTCATGCCTGTAATCCCGGCACTTTGGGATGCGGAGGCACATGGATCCTTTGAGCCCAGGAGTTCCAAAGCAGCCTGGGCAACATGGTGAAACCCCTTCTCTACAAAAAATACAAAAAATTAGCAAGGTGTGGTGGTGCGCACCTGTAGTCCCAGCTACTCAGGAGGCGGAGGTGTGAGGATCACTTGAGTTGGGAGGCAGAAATTGCAGTGAGCTCAGATGGTGCCACCGCACTCCAGCCCGGGGCAACAGAGGAGGACTCTGTCTCTAACCAAACAAAACAAAACCTCACATTAAGAAAAAAAAAAAAACTAATGGCAGACAGCACAGAGAATTTTTACAGTAGCGAAAATACCCTCATGGTACTGTAATAGTGGATACATGTAAATATACATTTGTTCAAAGATACACAATGTAAACAACAAGGGTGAACTAACTCTAATGTAAACCGCAGGCTTTGGTTAGTAATGATGTGTCAATGTAGGTTCATCGACTGTAACAAATTTACCACTCTGACCCGGGTGTTGGTAGTCAGGGAAGTCATGACTGCGTGGGGGAAGGAGGTATATGGGACTCTCCGGACCTACCTGTCAGTTTTGCTGTGAAACTAAAATTGCTCTTAAAAAATAAAATCTTCATTAAAAAAAATTAAAACCCATAGAATGTACAACACCAAAAGGAAGCCCTTATGTAAACTATGGGCTTTGGTTGATAATGTGTCACTGTACATTCATCACTGCAACAAATTTACCACTCTGGACAGGATGTTGATAGGGAGGCTGTGTCTGTGTGGGGAGGGGTACAAAGGACTCTTGATACTTTCAGCTCAATTTTGCAGTGATGCCAAAACTGCTCTAAAAAATAAAGTGGGCCAGGTGCAGTAACTCCTGTAATCCCAGCACTTTGGGAGGCCGAGGCAGGTGGATTACTTGAGCCCAGGAGTTCAAAACCAGCCTGGGCAACCCTGTCTCTACAAAAAATACAAAAAAAAAACTATCCTGGTGTGGTGTCGTGCGCCTGTATTCCCAGCTACTCCAGAGGCTGCCGGGAGGGTCGCTTGAGCCAGGAGGCAGAGATTGCGGTGAGCCACAATTACTTCACTGCACCACTGCAGCCTGGGCGACAGAGCAGGACAATATCTGAAAAACAAAAACAAAAAACAAGGCTTGGAGAGGTGGCTCACGCCTGTAATCCCAACACTTTGGGAAGCCGAGGCGGGCAGATCACCTGAGGCCAGGAGTTCGATACCAGCCTAGGCATCATGGTAAAACCCAATCTCTACTAAAAATACAAAAATTACCCAGGCATGGTGGTGCATGCCTGTAATCCCAGCTACTCAGGAGGTTGAGGTAGGAGACTCGCTTGAACTTGGGAGGCAGAGGTTGCAGTGAGACGAGATCGCGCCACTGCACTCCAGCCTGGGCAAAGAGCAAGACTCTGTCTCAAAAAAACAAAAACAAACAAACGACAACAACAAAAACACACACACAAAAACGCCACTTAAAAAAAAACAACAACAGCTGGGCACAGTGGCTCAGGCCTGTGATCCCAGCACTTTGGGAGGCCGAGGTGGGCGGACCACCTGAGGTCAGGAGTTCAAGACCAGCCTGCCCAACATGGTGAAACCCTGTCTCTACTAAAAATACAAAAAAAAAAAAAAAAAATTAGTCAGGTGTAGTGGTGGGAGCCTGTAATCCCAGCTACTCGGGAGGCTGAGGCAGAATTGCTTGAACCCAGGATACAGAGGTTGCAGTGAACCAAGATCAGGCCACTGCACTCCAGCCTGGGTGACAGAGACAGACTACCTCTCCAAAGAAAACAGAAACTAGCCTGGCGCGGTGAGCTCAAGCTTCACTGATAGGTAGGTAGGTACAGATTCCCATATACTTACTTCCTTCACTCATGCAGGCACAGCTTCCGTGACTACCAATATCCTGACCAGAGTGGTGGAGCATTTGTTGTCAGTTTTGCTGTGACGTTAAAATGCTTTTTTTTTTGTGAGAGGAAGTCTCACTCTGTCGCCCAGGCTGCAGTGTTGCGGCGGGATCTCAGCTCGATGCAACCTCTGCCCCCCAGGTTCAAGCGATTCTCAAACCTCAGCCTTCCCAGTAGCTGGGATTACAGGCATGCGCCACCATGCCCAGCTAATTTTTGTATTTCTAGTAGAGACTGGATTTCACCATGTTGGCCAGACTGGTCTTAAACTCCTGGCCTCAAGCTATCCACCCACCTCGGCCTCCCAAAGTGCCAGGATTACAGGCATAAATCACTGTGCCTGGCCTAAAACTGCTATTAAAAATGGCTGGGTGCGGTGGCTCACCTGTAATTCCAGCACTTTGGGAGGCTGAGATGGGCGGATCACGAGGTCAGGAGATCGAGACCATCGATTTAGTATTTCCTAAACTTTTTTTCTTAGACAGTCTCACTCTGTCTCCCAGGCTGGAGTGCTGTGGCACGGTCTCGGCTCACTGCAACCTCTGCTTCTCAGGTTCAAGCGATCCTCGTGCCTCAGCCTCTTGAGTAGCTGGGACTACAGGTGTGTGCCACCACACCAGGCTAATTTTTGTATTTTTTTTAGTACAGATGGGTTCCACCATGTTGGCTATGGCTGGTCTCGAACTCCTGACCTCAAGTGATCCACCCACCTCGGCCTCCCAAAGTGCTGGGATTGCTAAAGGCATGAGCCACCACTCCCAGCCTTGTATTTTCTAAACTATTCTACTGAGCACATATTGTTTTTATAATCATGAAAAAATATTAGCACCTGCCGGGCGCGGTGGCTCAAGCCTGTAATCCCAGCACTTTGGGAGGCCGAGACGGGTGGATCACGAGGTCAGGAGATCGAGACCATCCTGGC